CCTCAGAGTAGTCCCTTCATGGCTGCAGGCCTGTCTCAGACAGACGCAGCCCTTTTACCCCTGACCTCCCTGCACTGGTGCACCCACTAACACATGCACACAACACGTGTTCTGTGGGCTCAGGTGTCCACAATATAAGTGCTCGTAGCCCGTGCCCACGCCCCTCAGCCCGGGGCATCCATGCTGGAGGCAGGGAGGGGCAGGGAAGGATGATAAAAAGCCTGATTTTTAACTTCATCTACCATACAGTGTTGTAGAAAATTCATTGACCCACGTAAGTCTCCCAAAGGAGGGTTTCTGCCTCAGACCTAGCAGGTTGCCAGTGGCCCTGTCAAAGTTTAATGCTCACCTGGACTCAGAGAAATAAGAAGTTGGAGGCGGGGGGAAGCTAGGTGGCTGCCTTTTCATTCAACCACTTTTAAACTTGGGTGTGGGGATGAAGGCTGATAGGAAATTATAAGAAGTAATTAGCTCCAAACATCATGAAATATCTTTTGTTTGTATTCATCATGCATCCACCGTGGGAATTAGCATGTTTGAACCCACAATGTTGTCCCACCCAATGGGGAAGAGATGGTAGTTAAGATGACCCACTTTGCCTAATCCCTCCATCTCTTGGTGCAGGGAAGCCAACAGGCTATTGAACCAGGCAAAGGCAATTATCTCCTATCAGATCCAGTAGAAATAGTTCTGAAATCAGCAAGAGAACACATCAAACTAAAAAGTTTTGTGTGGTGAAAGAAACAACCAAAAACAAGAGACAAAAGAGCAGCTACTGACTGGGAGATGTTTGCCTCTCACATGCCCAGTAAGGGGTAATTGCAACCAAGGAGGAAATATCTAAGATCTACAAAGAACTCATATAAATCAATAACAAAAACAACCCAATCAAAAAATGGGCAAAAGTCCCACATGGACACTGCTCCAAAGAAACACCCAAATGACGCACATGAAAATATGTTCACATCTCTAACTATACGGGGAAAACACATTAAAATCACAGTGAGACGGGCCCTCCCTGGTGGCACAGTGGGTTAAAGCACAGCACAAAGAAGCTAAAGCCACTTCCTCAGGAGTTCGATCCCCACCTGCCCTGGAGGAGATCCACATGGTGAGGCAGACATCTCCTGACCCGCCCGCTGCTACCCTCAGCAGTGTATTTCATAGATCTACCTGTTCTGCTCCCCTCTCTGTCTCTGGTTAATCCTCTCACCCTCTGCATCTCTGGCCTGTACCCCAGTTCTGTATGAATAAATAAATAAATCTTTAAAAAAAAATCACAGTGAGACATTACCTCATCCCTGTGACCCTGGAAACAAGTGTTGGGAAGGGTGTGGAGAGAAGGGAACTATCATTCCCTGTTGGTGGGAATGTAAGTTGGTGCAGACTCTAAGGAAAATAGTGTGGAAATTCCTTCAAAAACTAAAAAAGGAAATATTATTAAACCAGCAGTACTACTTCTCGGCATTTATCCCAAGAACATGAAAGCACTAATAGGAAAAGATTTATGCACCCCTATGTCCATAACACCATTATTCATAATAGCCAAGCAATGGAGCCACCCTGAATGCCCATCCGTGGATGACTAGATAAAGAAATGTTAACATATATGTTCAGTGGAATACGACTCAGCTATTATAATAAAAGATGAAAGTGTGCAACAATATGCATGGAATCTGAAGTGATCGTGCCAATGGAAATGTCAGAAAGTGAGACACTGGATGGTCTCACTCAGTTGTAGAATATAAATAAGCAATGAAAACAAAGTGGCAAAGTGAATTCTTCCTCTCTGTGAGAATTTGTTACCAGAGGATGGGGGGCGAAGCAGAGAGGGGGAGGGAGGGGTGTGGTAGTATAGTGGCACTGGAGCTTTGGTGGTGGGCACTAAGCCTGAGCACAGGCAGAGGTGTGAAACTAGACAGCTTTGCAAATGAATGGTAAATCAATAAAAACTGATTTTAAAATGGAGTGAGAGAGCATAGCCTTATTAATAATCATGCCCTTTACAATGTCACTGTGGTGACGTGATTGTGTACATACACTCTATATTGGTTGTTCGAGTCTTCGGGTGACCTGAAAAAATCACCTCCACAGAGCAGAAGGCCTTCTGTATAATGGATGTTGTGACAAATTCTCTCATAGAAAGAGACCTCCAATGTCATCATCTTTGGTTCATGATGTCAAACTTCAAATTGAAAATGAAGACCCTGTTCTGATGGTGAGTCTGTAGAAATGGATGCCTTGGAGCAGAGGAGGAGAGAAATGATCCCCCATTCTCTTAACTCCAGGGATGGGTTACTCGCCTATCAGTTGTAAGTACAGCAATGGGCCTGTGAGGTCCAGACCAGATGCAAAGTGCCTGGTGTGCCTTTGTTTTAGGAGGTAGTAAGTTGTGAGCCCAAATTCGTAGCAGATGGACTTCAAGATGGAAGCAAAGAGGGTAACCCCACTCCCTTCTCACTTAAAAGCCATTTCAGACTGGGGAACATCTCCATGTGTCAAAGAGCCCAAAGGTGCTGTCTCACCTCCACCACCAACCTCAAACATCCTCCCTGAGACGTAGCTGTTCCCACAGCTGATTTTCGCTTGTGTGTTTTAATCATTTTCTATTGTACCGCAGGGAAAGTTCAACAAGGAATTGCTTTTCTCTCCTGCCTCTGCCTCTGGTCTCTGTTGCTCTCAAGGCCTCCCCTGGGAAATGGTGAAGGCCATTGTTCAAAAACCCTTAGGAGCGTTTCTGTCCCATCTCCCACAGCTGGAATATGAATGGAAAAGGAATCTTCTGGTGCAGAAGTCAGAGTAAGGAGATGCTGCTCCAGGGAAGAGACCGATGGGCAAGTTACAAAATTATATTGTTCCCCTTCCACGCTGAAGCCATGCTTGTTCATCTGCCATTCCGAGACTTTGGACGGGAGCACAGCAACCTATGAATGAACCATAGAGACCAAAGGAGGCAGACTGAAATGGCGATGGGTGCAGACCAGAGCGAGTAAGCAAAGCGTGTGCAGACACCGTAAGCTGCGAGCACAAGGCCTTTCTAAAGAGGGCAGCAGTGACTCAGTCCAGATAAACGGTGAAACTGCAAGCTGCGACTCAGCAGAATCAGGCTTGCTGAATCCTGAAGAGAAGCCAGAAATGCCATTTTAAAATGTGAAAGCCTCCATCCCGATTTTTAAATCTTAGCAATAAATTTGACCTTCAAAGCAATCAGTGTGTGGGCGAAACAAAAATATCTGTGGGCTCGATCTGAACCTGCTACCTGCTTGCAGCCTGGTGCTTAAGCTTTCTGCCAAACCCATAATTCTGTTCAGCACTTAGAGAAATTGAAGTATGCTGCCCCCAAGCCCCAAGTTCTTTTTTACTCCCTGCAGAGTGACAGCAAGGCAACTTATTTCTATCATCAGGAAGAATGGAACACTTACTACAACAAAAGGAAGTGCATATTCTTTACTTTGGTAATGACAGCCTCCTGCGGGGAGCCATAAACCAGGAGGATTCCTTCAAACATGCAAAAAATGACTGTTACAAGGATCCGCTCCCAAGACCACACAGAAGTAAACAGTGACTACACGTTACTCTCTCACTTAGAATTGATCAGTGTAGTAGTTCATTCCTTCATTCAATAAATACCAAGTTCTCGGATATGTATCATTAAGTCACTGATTCCGCATCTAGAGGATGGAGATGGAAAGGAACAAGCTACCATGGTTTGGTTTGCTAATCTGTTACCTGAAAATCAGGTTATTTCCTGAAATTTTACAGGTTTCACCAAGAAGCAAAAGGCAAGCACAGATTTAAAACACAAGGTAATTATACATAAACATTCATTTTAAAGGCTCTAACATGGTCTTCCAGGACATCTTATCTAACCTGAAAAACCAACAGAGAAGACAGATATAGAAGCAGCTGATTTAAAAACAAAACTATCCAAAAAGGCAGAGTACATCACATGGCAGAAGCTCTTGGTAATAGCATTTGAAATTCGGTGCTTGTCCGTCACCTCTTTTTGCAGGTGCACAAAATACTTTCTATCTTGCCTACATTTTAAAAATAACCGATAACTCTATTCTTTATAAAAGTTTATAATAAAATGATAGAACAGGGCCCTCCCTGGCGGCACAGCGGGTTAAAGCACAGCACAAAGAAGCTAAAGCCACTTCTGCATGAGTTCGATTCCCGCCTGCCCCGGAGGTGACCACATGGCGCGGCAGACCTCTCCTGACCCGCCCACTGCTCCCCTCAGCAGTGTACTTCATCAATCTGCCTGTTCTGCTCCCCGCTCTGTCTCTGGTGAATTCTCTCACCCTCCGCATCTCTGGCCTGTAACCCAGTTCTGTACAAATAAATAAATAAATCTTTAAAAAAAATGATAGAACATTCAAAAGTTAGAGCAAAGGCCAAAAGGATCATTGAAATCTCCCTATACTGATACAATATTTTCTTACCCATTAATCTTGTCATAATGGCTATAGCTGTAGTTTACAACCTGATTTTCCCCCTACTTTTTATTGTATTATTTTTTTTTTTTATTGAGCCAACACTGGATATGCTTCTAGAAGCACAGCTTTACACCTCTTTGATGTGTGTTGTCACACCAATGCACCACAAATCCATTGGGGCCCCTCCTCCCTTCACTCTCTAAGCTACCACTTCTCTCCACACTCCCATAGCACCCCCGTCCCCTCATAGTTTCAATTCTAATGTCAGATTTCAAGGGCTCACTTTGGGTTAGTTTTGACTGTTCCTTTATTTTGTTTCTCTACATTCCTCATAGTAGTGAAAACATCTGGTATTTGCTTTGCTCCTTATTTCACTGAGCATAATCACTTCCAATTACATCCATGTTGTCACAAGGGTAAAATTTCATGTTTTGTAGTAGCTGAGTACTATTCCATTGTGTTTATAAACACTCATGTGTCCTTAGGCGTTAAGTGGCTTCCACTACTTGGCGATTGTAAGTAGTGAGGCTGTGAATGCAAGCATGCATCTATCCCTTACAATTAGTATTTTTGCATTTTGGGGTCCATACCTTGGTGTGAAATTGTTAGACCATGTGGTAGATATGCTTTTAATGTTTGAGAGGCCTCCATAATGTATTCAACAAAGAATGGACCAGCTTATGTTCCACCAAAGGTGTACAATGGTTACTTTTTCTGCCTACCCACAACACTTGATGCTTTTGGTGTATTTTTAAAAAAAGATTTATTTGTTGGCCCTCCCTGGTGGTGCAGCGGGTTAAAGCACGGCACTAAGAAGCTGAGGCCACTTCCGCTTGAGTTCCATCCCCAGCCCGAAGGTGATCCACAGGGCGTGGCAGACCTCTCCTGACCCGCCCGCTGCTCCCCTCAGCAGTGTACTTCGTCGATCTGCCTGTTCTGCTCCCCGCTCTGTCTCTGGTGAATTCTCTCACCCTCCGCATCTCTGGCCTGTACCCCAGTTCTGTACAAATAAATGGATAAATCTTTAAAAAAAAAAAAGATTTATTTATTTATGCACACAGAACTGGGGTATAGGCCAGAGGTGCAGAAGCAGTGAAAGGATTCACCAGAGACAGATTGGGGAGCAGAACAGGCAAACTGACCAAGTACACTGCTGAGGGGAGCAGCGGGTGGGTCAGAAAATGTCTGCCACGCCACATGGGTCGCCTCCGGGCTGGGGATCAAACTCACCTGAAGCAACTGCAGCTAGCTTGCAGTGCTGCACCCTAACCTGTTGTGTCACCAGAAAGGGCCTCTGGTGTTTTTGGATGTGGGTCATTCTTACCAGAGTGACATTCTATCTCACTGGACTATTTTCTTTTAAGATTTATTATTTATTTATGCATACAAAACTGGGGTAGAGGCCAGAGGAGCAGGGGCGGTGAGAGGATTCACCAGAGACAGAGTGGGGAGCAGAACAGGCTGATGGATGAAGTGCTCTGCAGGCAGGTCAGGAGAGGTCTGGAGAGCCATGTGGGTCACCTCCGGGGCAGGGACCAAACTCATTGAAGTGGCTTTAGTTTCTTAGTGCTGTGCCTTCCCCCGTTGCCGCCACCAGGGAGGGCCCACACTGGACTTTTGACTTGCATTTCCCTGACAAGTTGTGACAAGCATTTTCCCGTGCATCTGTTGGCTACTTGTATGTCTTTTTGGAGAAGTGTCTATTTAGCACTTCTGCCCATTTTGAACTGGGTCGTTTCTTTACTTTTGGATGAGGTGTATAAAATCTTTGAGATTTTAGAGATTACCTCCTTGTCAGATGTATGTATGATGTGCAAATATTTTCTCCCATCTTGTAGGGCGAGTCTTTGTTTTTGTGATAATTTCTTTTACTGTGCAGAGCCCTTTTTGTTTGAAAAAGAATAGCACCCACCCTCATCCACAACAATGTGGAAAAACTTTTGGCCTCAGAAGTGATCAGTGAAATGAATATTAAAACAATATGGCATGGCCCTCCCTGGTGGCGCAGCGGGTTAAAGCACAGCACTGAGAAGCTAAAGCCACTTCCGCATGAGTTCAATTCCCGACTGCCCCGGAGGAGACCACATGGCGTGGCAGACCTCTCCTGACCCGCCCGCTGCTCCCCTCAGCAGTGTACTTCATCAATCTGCCTGTTCTGCTCCCCACTCTGTCTCTGGTGAAGTCTCTCGCCGTCCCTGCACCTCTGGCCTGTACCCCAGTCTGTATGCATAAATAAATAAATCTTTAAAAAAAAAAAACAATATGGCATTTGGCCTCTCAGTTGGGAAAGCAACCTTAAACAATAAATCCCACCATTAATTGGGATGCCGGGAAATGGATACATTGATGTGTGCAGCTGGTTGCATCTTCATCTGGACTGCAAATTGGTAGCATCTTCCCAGAGCAATATGGCAACTCATCTCAACAGTTTTCAAAGCATTCTTTGTTTTGATCCAGGAATTCTTCCTTCTAGAAGAGTATATGAGTATACAAATGGCCTCATTATGTACTATGAAAACATGGTTTATCATACAACTTATTCCAAGCAAATATTTTAGAAGAATATTTGCAAATAGAAGAAAGAATCCATGCTAGATTAAGGAAAAAATGTACCTTTTAGGATGTAGAGCTCTGAAATTTTTATTTTCTTCCAAATATTTTCCCATATTTTCTAAATTTCCTGCAATATGCATCATTTTTATAATTTTTAAATGGGGAAAATGTGGAGTGAGTATTTTCCGTCATGTCATGGAAGAAAAATATCAACACATTTAAACAAATAATGAAACTGGCACACACAGCCCCCCCCCCCCGGGGTATTATGAGACCAATCAAAGTAACTCCTGGCCCCCAAAGAGGACAAATGAACCTTATCTCTAGTAATAGATGTGGGGAAAGAGAGAATATGATATGTGATGTGAGGCAGATAATTGACCACTTTAGATAGTAAGGGGATTGATCAGACACTATAGCCTCATTCCTACTGATCAAATTATATCAAAGGCCTATGTTTGTAGTTTACAAACTCCTTTGACTTTGCAAATGAAATGTGCTTTTTTTTTAATGATTTATTTATGTTTACAGAACTGGGGTACAGGTCACAGATGCAGGGGTGGTGTGTTACTCACAGAGACAAGAGTGAGGAGCAGAACAGGCAGATGTACAGAAATACACTGCTGAGGGGAGCAGCGGGCAGGTCAGGAGAGGTCTGCCGCGCCATGTGGGTCAGCTCCCTGGTGGGGCTCGAACACGTGCTACAGTGGCTTTGAAGAGCTTCATAATGCAGTGCTTTAACACGTTGTGCCACCAGGGAGAGCCCCTAAAATGTGCTTTTAACATGTGCCAGGTATGTCATTATAAAATTATTTTCAAACAGGTAATACATGTGCACGGCACAAAATTCAAACGTACAAAAGGGTTTACAACAACAAAAAAATAGATCTCCCTTCCATCCTTGTCCCCTAGCTACCCAGAGATGAACAGTGCCAATGTTTTGTGAATTCTTTTAGAGAGATGTATATTGAAGTAATAGTATTGCATTAACCACAAAAGGTAGTTATCTACACACACTGCTCTGATTTTTATAAAATTAACATTTTAAAGGTTGGTCCACATTAGTTCCCTGAACTGCCTCTCTATTTATTTATTTAAAAATATTTATTTATTTATGCATACAAGAACTGGGGTACAGGACAGAGGTGTGGGGATGGGTGATGAGAGGATTCACCAGAGACAGAGTGAGGAGCAGAACAGGCAGATTGATTGAAATACACTGCTGAGGGCAGCAGCGGGCGGGTCAGGAGAGGTCTGCTGGGCCATGTGGGTCAGCTCCCTGGCTGGGTATTGAACTCATGCAGCAGTGGCTGTGGACAGCTTCATAGAGCTGCACTTTAACCCACTGCTCCAACAGTGAAGGCCTGTCTCTCTTTTTAATAACTGCACAGACTTTTCATTGCAGGAAAGTACCATAATTTAACCAGTCACCTAATAATAGACACTTCTTTCCAATCTTTTGTTCTATCAAAAAAACGGATAATCAAATCCACATAACTTGCTTGTAGAATATTAATAGTTTTGTATGTAAGTTCTGGAATTTTTTGTTGTAGTAATCTTCTGAAAAATCAATGAAATTTTACATGTTTGCTTAAAAGTTTTCCTTTTTTAAAAGTTTTTTGGCTGAAGGCACATTGGTTTACAACATTTTACAAGTCTAAAATACTATCAATTAAACCTTACAAGCAGTGGTATAGGTTTACACACACAGTAGCAATGCATGAGAGTTCAAACATAGTGAGCAAATTCAACTTTGCAAATCTGTTCGGTTAAAAAAATCTTAGTGTATTTATAGTTTGTGTTTTCCCATTATGAATAGCATTAGACATCATTGTATATATTTAAAATTAACATGTATCGGGCCCTCCCTGTTGGCGCAGCGGGTTAAAGCACAGCACTAGGAAGCTTAAGTCACTTCTGCATGAGTTGGATGCTCGCCTGCCCCGGAGGAGACCACATGGCGCGGCAGACCTCTCCTGACCCGCCCGCTGCTCGCCTCAGCAGTGTACTTCGTCGATCTGCCTGTTCTGCTCCCCACTCTGTCTCTGGTGAATCCTCTCGCCGCCCCTGAGCCTCTGGCCTGTACCCCAGTTCTGTACGAATAAATAAATCTTTAAAAAAAAATTAACATGTATCTCCATTTCTGTGATCGTTCTGTTCATATCTTCTACATAATTTTTTAGGAGGTTGTTAGACTTTTGCTTGCTGATTTGCAGGATTTATTTATATAATAGGAAATTATTAGCTGTATTTATTTATGATGAATTGTGTTGTCCTTGCAAAGTATATAATAGTTCTCTGGATATATGAATGATAAATTTGAATATGTATATTCAAATTTCAGTATATATAGTGACAACACATATATTTAAATTTATTATCTTTCCTTTTCTGTGTTTGATGTTGTTTATCTTATTTAGAGAGGTCTTTTCCCCCTCCAGTAAAAAAATATTCCCATGTGCTCTCAGGGTACATTTATGAGCTCTTTCTTTATGTTTATACCATTTTAGTAAAAAGTATGGCATAAAGATACATCATGTTTTCCTAACTAGCTATCCCATTATCCTAAAGTGTTATGAATAATCTAAACTTTATTCCACTGATTTAAAATTCTAATATTAGAAGATTCAAAGAATATATGTTTTCCCCTTTCTAGACTGGACTGGGTTATTATTCTTAATTCTGCATGTGATTTAAAAACTTTAATCTTGCTCAGAACACTGAGGCACTACACATTAACCTTTCTCTTCCATTGTATTCCTCAATCTAGCATAATTTATGAGCCAATAAAGGCAAACCATAATATCCATAATAATCACCCCAAGACACACCTTGAGAATTCTGAAACACAGTTTCTTAATACATCAAAGAAAGCCAACTTCAAGAATACTGTTTAGTAAAAAAAATTTTAAAAGGTGAAATCACAGAAACAGATGAGGAAGGTGGTTAATCAGGGGCTGGTGTGGTGGAGAAAATGGGCAGATTCGGATCAGAGGGGCATAGTGCTCAGTTATAACATGAGTGAATGTGGGGACCTAATTTACAGCATGGTGACTACAGTTAGTAATACCATATAAGACACTTGAAATTTGCTCAGAGTAAATCATACGTGGTCTCATTGCAAAAAAAGAAAAAGGAAGTTAGCCATATCAATAGCTGTGCTAATGAACATGATTGAGATCATTCCACAAATGCTATGCATATCAATTATCATGCTGTACACTTTACATACATATCATTTCATTTGTCAATTATACTTCAGAATGATTTTTTCTCCTTCAAAAATTGATTGGGGTTTCACAGAACAATCTTTCTTTTGTGTTTGTTTCAGTTTTCTTTAATTTGATTTGTTATTTGCTATCTTTAGTGTCTTCTTTTTTATTTTATATATATGTGTGGGTGTATGTGTAAATATGTGTATGTGTGTGTGTGTGTGTATATTTACATCATTCTTCATTTTGTACATTTTCATCTCAGTTGTAATCTCCGTGGATTTCCCACCGGCAATTCACCCATGTGCCATCAACATAGTCCCATGTAGAGCACAAACACAAAAGGTGTGGGCTTGAATTCCAGCTCCACTAGTTACCTATCTTGAGTGCCTGACCATTTACTTAATCTTACTGAATTCTATTCTTTTCATCTCAAAATGGAAACAAAAGAAATATCCACCTCACAGGTCATTGCCATGTCCAAGCAAGCTAATCGGTGTTTGGCAGCAAGCCTGGTACACGGCTGACCATCATTAGTACCTTTAAAGAGGGTCTCACAGCATACAGGAAATACTAGCCCTTCCCCTTCAAGAGCCCCTGAAGTAACAATCCTATTGTCCGACCCAGTGATGCTTGGGGGGTACTTGAAGGTGGAAGCCTTGTGTATAAATCCTCCAGGGATGGATGAGTTAACAATAGTGATAATAGTACCAATAATCAGAATAAAATAAAAATCACAACAGCTCTTAGTTGTCTGTCCTTGTCCACAGGGTTCTTACTTTAGCAGGGACCCCTTCAAATTGGGGATGCTTGCAGTGGGAGTCATGATCACTCCACTTCTCAAAAGACTCTGCACACCTGTGAGGATGACTGCCTCTTATGCTCTCTTCTGTTTGATTCCAGACTATTCCACAGAAACAAAGAAAGGAGAATTGGGGGCCAAAGAATTATGCAAGGTCAAGGGCTGGGGCAAGAGAATGAAGTACAGAAGACTTTACTCCATGCCCTGGATTCCTAAGCCAATGAAGTAGATGTTTAAAAGGCGGTGTGTGTAAGAGAAGACTTCACAAGAACCGCTCCGGATAAACTCTGCAGCTGAAGATGCTGTGAGAATCAGAGCTACAGTGGTGAGAGTCCCAGTGAGACAGCGGTGTTCATGAACACACCCACTCCATTGCCTGTGAGGGAGAAATGTCAACCTGACACAGATCACCAAGGACACCCTGTTGTTCTTGCTCATGATCAGATCCCATGGAGTCAACTCACTGTGTTTAGGAGTGGGATGGCATTTAACCAAGCATCTCCTTGAAGCTCATCATGAGATAAGCTGGAGGGAATGAAAGCCAGGGATCCATCTGTGGCCTGCTGGCTTCTGCTATGTGGTTAAAAGTTAAACAAGTGTGCAGTGATGTGGCTATCTAAATGGAAGGACTGAAAAGACCGAGAGTTGTTTCAGGAACATCAGGGCTGGTATGCATACTAGAATAAGAGATCATGTAGTGTGGACTTGCAGGCCAAGTCCACAGAAAATGCCCAATATACACTTGACTGCAGACAAATCCAAGATCACTCTGTTCCCATAGGAAGAGAATAAGCTTCACGAAATAGGCCTAGAACAGTGCCTGGTGAATAGTGCCAGGTAGTCAATCAATATTTTTTGAATGTCCATTTGCATGTATGAATGAATCTAGACTCTGAATGCTTTGGGGTCTGTAGTTTCACACTTTGCCTCAGTTACCTGTGTGTAGATGTATCATATCTGCCTCCTGTTGGGGAAGGTGAGGCTGTGATCCAGTGGCTTTCTTGGTGTGCACTTGCAAACAACAAATGTAAAGGCACCAAGGTTCAGGAAACTTTTTGAAATGGACTGTCTGACACATCTTACTCAGACCTTGCCAATACCTACCCACCTTTGCCCATCTTTTGGCTACCAAAGGAGATCTCTGGCGTCCATTCCCAGGGGCTTGGTGTTCAATGGTCATATTAGGGAGCCAAGAGTGCCTTGTCGCTAATATGAATGTTGACCTAGGAATGGTTAGGACTCACTGAGCAGGCGCCCCTCAGGAAGGACAGCAGATTTCACCACACTGGAACCAGGATCCACACACTGTTCAAGTTTAGACAACAAGCAGAGCTTCAAGGTGCAGGCCAAGCCCAAATGGAGCAGAGCAGAGACCATCAGTCACTTCATCTCTCATCTTGCAGGTGAACATGGGACAAATCCACTTATCTAAGATCCTGAAGAGAACAGGGCTGCCCCTTCCTTCTCTCTTCCTTTCTGGTATAGTTAGTGCAATGGGACAAGTTCCTTGTTTGCAAACAACAGATTATTTGCTGAACTTAATGTTGAATGGAGAAATTTCCATGACAATGGTTGGGAAATGCTTGACTATACATTTATCATTTTGAAGTAGATTAGCATTTAATAATTTCATGCTAACAAAGACATCCTATGGGTGTAATATTTTGCAAAAGTATTTTTGCTTAATATACTCACTTATGATTTTGTCATTTGTAAAACAATCTTTAAGATTGTAAATATATTATTTGTATTTATGAAAAGCTTATATTTTCAAGGTATAATTATCAATGGGGACTTTTTTCATGTCTGTATTTTATGTTTCATTTATAAGCATGTACTAGTTGTATAATAAAAACAATAAAAAATTTAATCACATATTTCTGATGTATTTAATAACTGAATAAAGTCTAGGCAAAACTAGTGAACTTCTCAGAGGAAAAATTTTAAAGTTTGGTAGAGATTTGTAAGGAGAGAACTTCTGAGAATAGAATTTCATTTTTCTTTGGGTGGCGTGGTAACATACATCAAGAGCAAACTGATTCAGCCATAGAAGCCGCTAGAAAAGACACGAGCAAGCAATGCTTCGAAGAACTTTCTAGCCCAGAAACTAGCTTGATGAGGTGTAGTCTGGACAGAATATGCTCAACACCATGGTAGTTCAATCCAACTTCTCTCCAACTCTGGCCAACTGCTCTCTGAGTGGAGTCATCATACCTGGGACCACAAGTTCTGGAGTCACAATTTCAATTTCACAATTTCAGCAGCAGCGATGGCATGGTAGGTTTTAGACTGTGTGGACAAGAATGCATGTAAAAATATTCGACTTAATCGTCATACAATGTTTAATATCCTTCTGTAAGCTTCTTTGTAAATTCCTTGTCCAATTTGTGATATTGTGAATGTATTATTTTCCCTTTAAAATTTATGACCTCCTTTTATGCATTTTCAGTTCCATTTGGTAAACACCAAATGCAACTAAATTTAGAAATTATAATGGAATGTAGGAAATTTTAATGGAAAGGTCATTTAATTTGCAGATGGTCTTAAAATTGACATCATATCTGATATAAAAGGCAGCATAATTTAAAAGTATTCAGCAAATCTGATCCATGTATACTGCATTTATTCTAGCTTTGTTACAAACTGGAATATAAAGTAAAAATAATGGATCAGCTGGCACAAAAATTACATTTACATTTTATATATTTTTATATAACTAGTGATAGTATTTATTAAACCACTTTGATTCTGTCAATATTATTATTTTAAGAGGTTTTTTCCTAAGGATTTATTTATTTATACATACAAGTACTGGGGTACAGGCCAGAGGTGTGGGGGGGTGCGAGGATTCACCAGAGACAGAGCAGGGGGTAGAAAGGCCGACTGACTGAAATACACTGCTGAGGGGAGCAGCAGTTGAGACAGGAGAGGTCTGCTGCACCATGTGGGTCAGCTCCCTGTCCAGAGACGGGACTCATGCTGCAGTAGCTGGTGATAGCTTGATGGGGCTGAGACTTTAGCTCTCACACCACCAGGGAGGCACCTATGTCAATTATTGTTAACAAAATAGTGTTGATGAAATATGGTTAATCCTCATGTGCTTTTCTGTAAATAAAATTCTCTCATCTAATAGTCAACATTTGTAGGCCAGTTAGCTCCACCTTCCTGGCCAGCTTTCTACAGGTGTGTCTGTCAATGCATTGCTGAAAGGCTGACATGGATCACACTTAACAACTTTTTGGCTTTTTTTCTAATAATCTCTTTGCACAAAGATCCTTTCTCTATACAACCCAAACACTGGGCATCATGGCAGCCTTCAGCGAGGCTGCGCTTCGGCAACAGCATGCAATGAGTGGCAGCCCGGCGAACAAGAGTTGCCCTACTGGTTTCCATTTCTGGCTCTTCCACATGACCTGTGTTTTCTCCCTCTGCTGAGTCACATTCCAACTGTTTTTGGTAGAGACAGCTTGTTCCATTTCTGAGTAAATTCGCCCTGTGCATCGCAAAGATCCTGCCGGTTCACCTTGCTCTCCATGGTTTGCTTATTGGAGTCACAGGGGGTTCATAAAACAAAAACTGACAAATGAATTGAAAACGTAGGAATGTGATGTCATGGTCCCATATTCTAGAAGGAGCTATCTGTATGGGATGAATACTTTTTAAAGCAAATCTTTTTTTTTTTTTTCCCATTGCAGCATATTGAAATATCCCAATTTATGTTCACTTTTCTACCTCAGTAGGAACCGGTGTTCTAATTGAATTGCTGCTGTCATTAATGCCTCACTGGCTATGAATTTAAATGCCTTCTTCTCCTACTAGGTTGCTCTCCTTCATGGTGAATCAAATAGCTCTGTAGATTTTCCTAGAGGGAGTACAAATTTAAGAAATACCCTATGGATGATTAAACAAATTACGGAACACAAATGCCATGAACTGTTAACGTTCTTAAGAGGATAAGAACAACTATATGCAGAGTGAAACCGACATAAATGTTTAACAACCAGCTTTCAGGAAAGGGGGATCTTGATTTTCAGCATTTGCCAATTTACATGATGTAAACTCTCCCATGAGAGATTTCAAGATATCTTGATGTCACTGGACATCACTGAACACAGGGTAGGAAAGAAATGCACACACCTTGTTTTTATAAGCTGGTATGAGCTGGTTCCACAACATCACTGGTTTCATACTCTCAGGGAAAGATAGCTCAAGCTCATTAGTGTAAAAAGCTTCTGGTCAACATCTACAATGTGATCCCTTTTTCAGTTGAAACAAAAAGCTGTGTCCTGGGATACATGTTTATAAAAACTCCCATAATGGAACACCAAGAGAGAAAGCTGGACTGTATCAGGAAATTTAAACAGTAAATAGAAACAGTACAGAACTCAGATACAAAATGTATAGATCTAATGTATGTGTGACTGTACATCACTGTGTCTATCGATACACACACACCAAGCTGGTAACAGTGGTTCTCTCAGGGGAGAAGGGTAGGCGGGCAGTTTTCACGTTTTATTTATACACTTATATAACTTTGATCTCATTGAAAGCAGTATTATTTATAATTACATTTTTCTAAAACAGAGGACTTTAAAAAATGAAATGTCTACAGGCTATGAGCATGATTCATTTTGCTGCTGACTTTTTGATCATAAAGTAATTCAGCTCTTAATAACAACTCACATTTATTGCATCATTCTCTTAATAAAAAGCTATTTTTAAAACGAATTAACACTGCCTCTAGAGTTATAGTTTCCAAAGAAAGATCAAGGACCAACATCTAAAATGGAAAACAGCAGGGTGAAATAAACCATGAACAGAACATTCAAATTAGTTGTGATCTCAACACGAATCCTTTGATTATGGAGAGAAAAGGAGTATTTTTAAAAAGAACAAGCTGTCTTTAAACATGTACATTGGGTGGGTTTTTATGGAAAGCTAACCCCCCCTCCACAAAAAAAGGAAAACCATTGAAAAGAAAGTGATGTAACTGAAGCCCCTACCTGGTACTGAATAACAAATTGGCTTTTCTAACCAGGCAGTGACCAGATTGATGAGTCTGTAAAAGATCCATGCTCACGTCCAGCCCTCCTGCTCACCTCCACAACAATGTACCTCACCCCTTCCCACCCTTCCTTTTCTGTTTTTGTTCTGCCATTTTCCAATCTTTTCTAGCCTGCTGTCACTTTGACCTGACTCCACTTTTCAGCAAGCCTTGAGTTTTGTCATGCCCCCACCTCCACAACACACCCCCACCAAAGTATTCCCTCTTGTGTGGTAGCTTGTTTTTCTGTGAGATCAGTCAACAGCAATGATTTTCAAGTTGTTTTCTATTTCTTTTCCATTAAACTCTTAATATCTTAATATTGCTTACATGTTGAAAGGATAACATTTTTCATATATTGGCTTAGACAACATTTACTACTAAACGTTAATTGTTCTTATTTTTTTTAACTTCTTAATGTAGGTATTACAAATTTTAAAAATTAGGCCCTCCCTGGTGGCGCAGCAGGTTAAAGCACAGCACTGAGAATCTAAAGCCGCTTCCGCATGAGTTCGATTCCCGCCTGCCCCGCCTGCCCCGGAGGTGACCACATGGCTGGCAGACCTCTCCTGACCCGCCCGCTGCTCTCCTTAGCAGTGTATTTCCTCGATCTGCCTGTTCTGCTCCCCATTCTGTCTCTGGTGAAGCCTCTCACCGCCCCTGAGCCTCTGGCCTGTACCCCAGTTCTGTATGCACAAATAAATAAATCTAAAAAAAAAAAATTTAAAAATTACAGATGTGACTCACATTGTATTTCTTTTTTTTCTCCTATACCCCCTCCTTTTTAACTGATTATATTTCTTTTTTAAAAAGATTTATTTATTTATGCATACAGAAATGGAGTGCAGGAAGAGGCAGTGAGAGGATTCACCAGAGACAGCGTGCCGGTCAGAAGAGGTCTGTCACACCATGTGGATCACCTACCAGGTGGGGATCAAACTCGCACTGAAGCAGCTGGCTCGCTTGCCTTGCTGCACTTTAACCCGTTGTGCCACCAGGAAGGATCTCGTTGACAGATTATATTTCTAATGGATATTGCTGGGTGATGATTTCTAAAATCAAGTCTATATTAAACAATCAAAGATTTTTATGAATTTTTATTGAGGAAAATTTGTTTATAATATTGTATAAGTTTCAAGAGTATAGAGTCACATCTCAATAAACATGGAATCTTGATGTGAGCATATAAGAAAGAAGTGAGATAGAAGAGGAAAAAAGAAAATGAAAATGAAAACAGAAATTCCAAATCATGGTTTGTGTTATGTGTTCCTTTTCCCAAACCATTTCTAGAGTTGGAGTTTTTTCCCCTTTCTAAAATGGTAGCAAATATCACACACAGAAGACTATATAAAAATTATATAAGTAATCATGGCATTGGAATTGATAACTGGGTTAGATGAGTTCGATATTGTCATGGAATCCTTCCCTTCAAGTAACTTTGTGAGTATTAACAAACATAAAATCTCCTTACTGTGTTAAAAGTAATTAACAGGAAGTGAAACATAACTTACCAGAGCGAACACTGAGAAGCAGTGCTTAACAATCCAGTTCCTTATAGTCACGAGGTGTTTTGAAACCTGTCTAAGTAGCAGCACAATTAAGCCATCTGGATATGGAAAGGTTTATCAGGACTGAGACTCTGTGGAGCTCAGGGACTGTGAGTCTAAGATGCGAAAGATGTGCACTCACCCACAGAGCTTCTAGGAGTTAATGAACGCATCCTACTTTCCTCTCCTGCATGGAGGAAACAATGCCATCAGGTTCAGTAGACAAGTCCTATCTAAGGGAACCACATGGATTTTTCCCTAGTGGGTATATTTTTATTCGTTCAGGGTATAACAATCGTCTTGGGTAAAGGTAAGAATATCCTGTCATGTCATCACTGCCGTCCTTTGTAAGACATTCACTAATGTTTCTCTCAAGAAAGGTGTTATACACAGGGGATATACAAAGGTGTTATACTCAGGGCAGGAAGCAAGCATGCTATGGAAGCTGCCTTAAGGTGGTCTTTCAGAAGAACTGTTGCATTTACCCACTGCCATTTTACCTCAGCCAAGCTACCTGAGAAACTTCAGTATATCAGCTCTCTTGGAGGATGATTTGACTCTGGAGAGAGTTTGACTTGCTGGAAGTAGTCAAATAGAGCAGCACTGTCCGCAAATGCCAACTTATAAAATCAACCAAAGTGCCCATTGACAGACAACTGGATAAAGAAATTGTGCAACATATACTCTAAGGACTACTGCTCAGCTTCTTTAAAAGATGAAAACAGTGCTTTCTGGAACAAAGTGGGTGGACCTTGAGGTCATTATGTTAAGTGAATTAAGTCAGAAAGTGAAAGACAGATATCAGCTGGTTCCACGTATCTTTGGAATATGAACAACAACAACAAACTCCATAAACTGGCAAAGAAAAGCTAAAAGAAACCTTAGCTATGGTGAAAAATATTCTGGTTACCGAGGGCGGGGGAGGGGTGTAGAACGGGGTAGGAAGGGCAGGACGGGGAAGAACAAGGATGGGGCACAGGAGGTTTGGCAGCAGCAAGTGAAGCCTGTGCGGATATGAATGAGTCAGAAATGCAGGCCCAGAAGTAAAGCAGGATGGCAACAGTGTGAGGACCCTGGCTTGGCTCTGCCAGATACTCACAACAAAATTGCTGTAAATCAAAGCCAAAAAGTCCTGAGGGTAGAGCCGAGTACCACAGCTCATGCTAGAACTTCAGCAGGAAGAAAGGTGTAGGAAAAACTTTAAGTGAACTTTGTTTAGAGTGATAACAAGTCACTACAATCCGCATAAGAGAGAAATGAGTGCTATTCAGAGCCCCCTACAGCTTTGACTCTGACACATGTCAACATTGGGCCTGGTACTTCATTGGGTAAGAGTGTGCACATGCAGATACCCAAGATGTAGGGTACACTATTGGAGGACTGCAGATGTGGGGACACAGAGACAGGATTATGAGCTTGAATCTGAGACTTGTAACAGAACAGATGTAGCCTGAACCCGGTCTGACACCTGGACTTCCCTATCGAAGAGGGCTTTCCCTAGAGATAGCCCAGGCTGAGATATCCAAAACACCTATGATCCACATGAAGAAATACTTAAACTAGAGCTTGAGCACCTACCTCCAGCTGAAGCAGACACCCCAGGTAAGACTCTAATGGAGAGGAAATGCAAACAACTGTTGTCTGTGGCCTCCAATATCAACTGCAATCTATGCTCAGCTCTGCATCTATTGCTTAAAAATAGCCTACCTGGGCATGAACATAAGACCATATGAGACACTGACAATTGAAGAGAGGATCACTAAGTGGATCCCCACCACACAACTCTGGCACTTACAAATGCCAGAGTAAAACAAAGTAACTCAGTGGAGTTTCAAAGCATGATAGGAGAATAAAGAAGAGGAGACAAACCAAAACAAAAAACAAAACTATAACAAAATGTCAGTGAGCACTTATGTTTCAATTACAATCTTAAATGTAAAAAGC